GTATGATGGCTTTTCTTTTGATGGATTAAATTCCTTTACAGCAAAATTGACGGTGACTATTGATACGAATCTGTTTATAAAGATTCAAGGTGACTTCACTTTTCTAAGGTCTTGTCGAAGGAGTATAATATACCACGATTTGTTTCAAACTGTCGTCATGTATATATTAAGTGTCGGTGTGATGTGTTTCCGAAAAAGTGATTTCAAACTTGTAACGATGTGTTTCGACTGTAGCTCACACTGTCCTCAAGTATGTTTGAAATCAGAATACTACTTGCACATAACTTCAATTTTTAAGTAAATATTTCTTAATATTGAAATGATTTGTTCGAGAGTCGACAGACAAACAACGAAATCATTTCAAAGGTGTAGAAACTTACAACAAAAAAAGATATGTACTATTCGTACTAAGTGTAGAAAATATCAACAAGAAAAATCGACCAATTTTATAAAGAAACAGATTTGAATTATAAAGAAAATCAACCATAAAATGGACAATAATAAAATACGTGAAGTTAGATAAAAAAAATGACAAAGACCTAGGATCAATTTTAATCTTTTTTTGTTCATGATCCTTTCCACTGAAACACTAGCCATTTGATCTAATAAGTCTGTGATCCTGTTCTGACTGATGGGATAGCCATTTCAGACAGCCACAGTGATCTTACGTATCATTAACCTAATCTACATTAGGATCCAGATGAATCTGTTTTAACACGAATCTTAATCCCCAGAGAAAAATTAGACAAAAGAAAAGCCATCATACAGCACTAAAATGATCTCGGGTCACTTTAATGGCTGGAGAGACATCTACCACACTGGTGATACTCTCCTCATAGCATATTGACACAAACATCGATACTAATGGTGACAAAGAAGTAATGAAAATTCTGAAATCTAAGTAGTTAGAGAAGTTCGACAAATTACTTTCATATGACTTGTTTTACAATGATCTTATGAATCTATGTCCACCTCTACTAGATATGAAATCAATGAAAGTTAGTTTCGAATTCTACCGACGAAAGGCTGACAGGCAACTCTAACTAAAATAACAACAGACCTGATAAAGATGGTTCAGAATATATGCAGTTGTTCTTGCCGTTGGAGATTACAGTAGAAGAGTCGATGCTACTGCTGTTGTGTTAATCCACAAAATGAATTCATCACACAGAGAGCGGGCCTTTATATATACAACGAGACACCACAGGCGACAACAAACTACGCCAGTAAACTACGATAGACGACAATAAACTACGATAAACGACAACAAATGACGAAAAAAAAAAATATGACAACAAAAAGTGACAAACGACAATAAACTACTACACATGACAACAAACTACGAGAGACCACAACAAATTATATCGAACAACAACAATCTATATTGAACGACAACAAACTATACCGAACGACAACAAACTACTTCAAACGACAAGAAACTAACGGTCACGTCTCATATTTGAAATTTCGCCCTGTACTTTTAATGATTAATTTTCAAACTTTAATTTTTAACGGCCACCTTTTCAATATAAGTCGATCGTTGAACTATTAAGCGTTATATTTGGAATTAAAAAAAATAAGACTTTTGACTTTTGGTAGTCCTGTTTCAAAACTAATATGATCCCTGAACTTTCAACACTTTTGTTTCAAACTTGAAATTAAAATTTCTTTCCGTTTTTTTTCTTAGTTGATATTAAAATTTCTAACTTTTTTTTTCAATGTTGCAATCAAAATTTCTCATGGTTTTAATTTGAATATAATTTCACCTTTCCCTTTTCAATCATAATGTTTCCGAATTTCAGTTTGATTTTCTCATAGTCATTTTTCAGAATAGCTTAACCTTTAACATTTCAACGGCTTTTTTTTCAAAACTTGACAATACAATTTCTAATGGTCTTGGTTCGAATATAAATTAACCTTTGACCATTAACGATTATGTCTAGACTTAATAATTCAAAATTTCCAGGGTTATGTCTGGAACTAAAAATTTGATCTTTGAAATTTTAACGATTATGTCCCGAAAAATACAACCTGGATTGTCTAATGTTAAAGTTTCATATTAGTTTGACCTTTTGAACTACTAATTTTTATTTACGAGATTTTGTTTTCTAACGAATCGAATTTTATTATATTTTGATATGTTGAACTTCTATTGTTTTTTTTTCAAATTATGCTTTTTTACAGTTTTCATTCAAATATATTTCGACCTATGACCTTTCAACGGTTTCCTTTCAGACATGACATAAAAATTTCGAACAGTTATATTCGAAAATAACTTCACCTTTGAACTTTTAATGATAATGACTGTAAAAATTGAACCTGTACTGCCTAGTGTTAAAGTTTCATATAAGTTTGACCTTATCAACTTTTAATGTCGTTTTACATATTCCAAATATTTTTTTCTACTGATTTTCATTCTAGTATACTCGGATCTTCGAACTTTCAACGGTTTCCTGTAGATATGAAATTCGAATTTCTAACGATTCTATTCGAACATATTTTTCAATCTGAACTTTTAACAGTTCCGTTTCACACATGAAGCAAAAGATTCTAATATCTTTTTTCCTATTATATTATGATCTATGACCCTTTCCCAATTATGTTTCAAAAAACCAAACCTCGATGTTATAACAGTGATATTTACTATTCAACTACGCTTCTCCAATTTTCATGGTTTTTTTTTTGAACTTTGAACTGATTTTTCTAACCGTGTCTGTTATAATATGTTTTCACCTTCGACCTTTTAAATCTCTCCTTTTAGGCGCCAAATTGAAGCTTCTAACTTTTCTTTACTACTCTAATATAACCATTGAACTACTAACCATTATACCAGGAAAAATTGAACTTCTAATTCTCATCAGCTATTCTCGAATAAATCTGTTATTTTTATATAACGTTTGATTATTTTGAAATCACCTGGCCATTTTTAGAGACATCCTGGTATATTCTGAAAAATCGGGTACTCCTATTTCAAACTTTCGTTATTTTCCACGATAGCAGGTGTATTCATATACATTCACTAATTTTCAAATACAATTGACTAATTTCGTAGGTATTCCAACAGATTCTAACAAAAGACGTATTCTTACTTCTCCTTTCCGCTTTTTCAACTGTAAAACGCACATCGGTACACATTAAAAATTTTTTTCGAATTTATTGGATATCTTCCTAGACATTATCGTGTATTCGGATAAATTGCGTATTTTTATTTGATCTTTGGGTTTTTCGACCTCCACTACATATATTTATATACATTAGAATTTTTCCGATACTTTTCTAGTCTGTATCGTGTATTTGAATATATTGGGTATTTTTATTTCACCTCGGGCTTTTTTAACCTGTACTACATATATTTACATAGATTAGAATTTTTCCGATTTTTTCAGATATTTTTCTAGTCTGTATATTATTATTATTAAGATTTTTAGATTGAAAGCACCACACGACTAGTTTCGTCCTTGCTTAAGTGACTCTACAGGCATGTCTACAATCTATTAGTACATATATCTATAACTCTCCAAATTTTGAAGAAGTTAAAGAAAATTCATACTAATATTCAAATAACAAAATTAAATCATTATTAAGAAATTTTTAAAGTAATAATAAATATATAGTTGAAATTCAAAGCGTCACACGATGCGTTTCCATGGTTCGTGACTGGTGAGTTTTGTTTCTTCCCGTTTGAAGCTGAAATATATGTTGAGGAAGCATATTACCTTCGCATTTGTTCGATATATGTTGTGTTGTTAGGCGATGATCGATAATTATGTTTCATAGTTGTAACTTATTGGTGTCGATGATCTGAAATATATGAAATTTATTTACATGTATTCATATGAATATTAGTAAAGAGTAACTGATGATTATATATGTTGTTGAGTATTCACATTTGAAGAAGATAAGCACAAAGCTGAAGTATTACAATAGAAAAGTGAAAAAAAATTTTAATGGTTGTTGTTATTGTGTGGTCGGTTCTAGTTTTGTGAGAATTTGTCGTCGAGGCTTTTTTCTTATCAAAAAGTTTTGTAATGTTCTGTTTGTTTTCGGAATAAGTCGAATTTGAATACTATTGGCTAGTGATTCTGGATATTGGTAATGGTTTTTCCACCATGTCATGAATTGTCGTGAAAATATCGAGATAGGTCTACTTTCGAATGTATGTCGTACGCACATTATTCTTGCATTCCATGGCTTTTGTTGTAATATCGGTGGAAATAGTACAGGATCGTTTTTCATAGCTTTTAGTTCGAGTTCGTGTTTGGATGGTTAATATAGTAATTTGTAATGTAATTGATGATAAGTTTTTTCATCGAATCTTTTGATTAGAATGTCAGCCTTATTCACTTGAAAAAATTGATTCTTTATAAATTTTGGTGGATAATTATTCAATAACAGTGATACTTTGATTCGTAATCGTTCCATATGAAAATCATGAAGATTGTTACAGAGTCGTGCCGCACGTATTAATGCAGTATATGGTATATTGCGATGAATACGATGTGGATGATCTGATGTATATGGTAAGAAGTATGGATCAGCAGTTGGTTTATGATAGATAGATGTTTTCAATTGACCATTTGCATTCGTTATAGTAATATCAAGAAAATAAAAGGTGTCATTAATAGTAGATTTTATTTTAATATTGTTATCTTTCTGTTGTGCTTCTTCCAGTTTTTTTATGAGTTCTTCGAATGGTTCGTTTGTAGTCATAAAAATATCATCGACATATCTAAAACGAGAAATAGATTACTCTTGTTTTGATATTTTAAGTTTCAAACTAACCTTCCATAAATTTCATGTTTGGATGCTTGATATCTTATTAAATCTTGCTCCCATTCTAACATATAAATATTGGCAAAGACTTGTGTAAATACAGAACCCATAGCTCCGCCACGTTTTTGATGATAATATTCATTTTTATATGCAAAATAATTTGTATCCAAAATTAGACGAGCCATTTTTAATATCATATCTATATTAAATGGACCTATCTTGCGATATTTAGAACATTTGTCTAAAAATCGTATTAATGCATTAATGCCACCTTCTCTTGGTATCATGGTATAAAGATTTTCAACATCGCCTGTAATAAACTTTGTTGTAGGTTTAAGATAACCATCGGTAGTATATTTTTCTAATATAAGAACAACATCAATACTATTTATGAATGTAGTATCCTGAGCCACTTGTAAATAGATGGGCGCTAGAAGATGATATAAAAAAAAAGAAAACCAATGTCACCGGTGCATGCAAACCAGAAATGATGGGTCGTATTGATATGTCAGGCTAAAAGAAAAGAAGTCGAAATTTTTCAAAAAGTGTGAAATAAAAATAATGGTTCAAAAATAGTATTACCTTATGCACTTTAGGTAATGTATACAAATGAGCGAGTTCAAGAGTGTTTACATTAGATAGAAGTTTATCACGTTGAGCTTTGGAAATTGCTTTTTTCTTGAGAAGATAATCAAGTACAGCTTCTGTTGAACGTAAAATATCGGATAGAGGACAACGACCAGTAGTTACTTCTTGATAAGCTTCAGTTTTATTCATATATTCTTCTGTATTATATTCCATTATAGACTTATTACCAAAATAAAACCCCTCACCTTTATCTATTCGACGTATAATAATATCAGGTCGACGATTTAACAATTTCTGGAGATGTTTTACTTTTCTATATTCACGACGAGCACGTCGATATAATTTTACTGGTAATGGTTTTGAATATAAATCATGAATCATTTGTTCTAATTCTGGAAATGCTTGTTTTGCTCGTTCATCCGTAATTGACATTTGATTATCACCAAGGCTTTTTTAACCGTGCTTGATATGCTGTTTATTATGCATTGACAATTTCGTTTGTGGATTGACGAGAAAATCGACTTTGACATGATATAATATATTTACGACCATTGCTTAACATATGTATTAGTTCTGAACCTAAATTTATGTTAGTTTCCATAAATGGCAATGAACTACTTATTCTTGTATAGATAAATGGATTGCTCCGACGGTGATTTTGTTTAATTAGTTGTTGTTGGCCACCGCCGGAGCTTGGTCGAAAAAAGTCTTCAATTTATGTTCATGTATTTGAATAAATCGTTGTATCATTGCTTGTCGACGTTCTTCAGTAACATTTACCAATAAACTAGTATAAACATATGGATTTTCTTTATTGAGATTTAATAATTTTTCTTTTAAATTAGTTAATGTTAAATCATAACGATGTTCGACCATTGCAAATCCATCTAATTCTGTAGTCATTAACTTATATTTACATTGTATTATAGTTTTTGAGCAACGTGATGCAAAACTAGCACGTTGATCTGGATCAAGAAACGGATTGGAAAGTGTTGTTCGATTATCATCAAGTAATTGATTTATCATCTGATCTGTTTTTGTTGGTAATCGTTTTAAATAAATACGTTTTCCAAGTATTGCTTCTTGTTCTTTTGTTTTCTGTTCGTCGGCTGTTATTTGCCAAATTTGTTGAGCTAATTGAATAAGTTCTTCATTGGGTTTTAATTAATAAAATCTCATAAGTAATTGATGATCATGCCAATCTAATTTTATCATTTCTGTTTTATATTGAAATTCTTCTTTTAATCTTTTTTGGTTATGTTGCACACATTCATTAATTGCATGTGATAATAATGTTCCATCAATAGATGGTTGCCAGTGTTGTATATCATTTAATAATTTTGTTAAACATTCTTGTAATTCCTTGTCTATTCGTTCTTTTTGCTTTGCAATTGTAGCTTGACGTTCTTGAATATATGCTTTTCTAGGGTGTAGGTGGGTGTGGGTGTGGGTGTGTGGGTGTAGGTGTGGGTGTGGGAGTGGATATCTATTGAGAAGAATCGCAAGCACAAGCACACCCACACCCACACCCTCATCCACATTTCGTACGAGTATCCGAGAAAAAAATCAATGGACAGTTATTATATCTTTTAACTGTATTTCATAAAATTAAAAACAAAGCGAAGAAGTCATCCATAAATCATAGCGGTTTATATGTAGCTAAATGCTCTAGATGATCGCGAAGAGAAAATGAAATAGTTTTAATTTACTTAATTTCTTGTCTATAGCATCACAATACTTAAGTTTTTCATGTCGAACGGTTTCTTGTACAACACTAAGGAGAAAACAATGTGGATGAAAATGACTTGCATAATCAATTTTTATTTCCTCATCAATAATAATTACTTTGATACACGTATTGTTTATATATACTACTCTTGGATATCCAAGTGACACAATTTTTACATATTTTTGCAGTAAAATTTGTGGTTGCGGCGTTCTAGTTATTTCAAAATCACATTGTCTTTATGTTGTTTGGTCAGTTGTAGATTTTCTTCGATCAATGTTGCGATTTCACCAATAGGTCTGAATAATTTTCTAATTGATTGCTGTGCTTCATTGATTAAAAGTATCTCGTTAGAAGCATATTTATCACATGTAGTGATGCCAGACATAAGACGAGTGGATTTTTTAATAGTTTAGCACCAACTTCTATTATAATCTTGTTTTTTAACTGAATGAAATTCAATTTCATTTTTATATAATGTCAAAAATCGAAATACTTCGCCATCAAATAAAAATGAATTGTCTCTTAACAACGGTGTTTCACTAATTTGATTGATCTTTTAGAGTTCGAAGAAGTTTTCCAAGAAGATGAGCCGATGGTTCAGGTTTATAACTATCTGAAGGATGAAATTTAGTATGGATAGCAAACAATAATATATTAGTATCTCCACTTGATGAAAGGCTAGCCTAATACAGTTATGAATCTCATGTCATAATAATTTTCACTACTACTCTACGGATTTTCTTTTTACTATACTATCTTCCATATCAGAAACATCCTCTAAACAGAGGATAACAAGAAAGGAAGTACAACCCGCATTCATTTTTCTCAGCGCAATGTTTCGTTCAAAGAATATACGATTATCAAATATGCATCCTAGGACCTTGAAATCAACATAATGCAAAAACGAAATTGCATGAACAATTAATACGATATGTATAGATATGCAAAAAAAATACACCTAATGACTCCTTTCTTTCGTTCTTCTTCTATTCTCCATCCATAATGAGAAAAAAGAGATAGAAAGAGCAAAACATAAGTAGTCATTTTGTGTTTCTCTTCTTGAGCGCAAGTAATACAGGTTTGTGATAAATATAAATTAGGTAATCAACCTTGATTCACTGAATAAAGCATCCTTTCCTTTTTCAATTAAACGTAAGAATGGCATTGCATCTTTATCTATTGTAAAAACAAAAGTAAATGATTTAACTCTAGATTCAGGTAGGACTTAAAATTTTGCAAATAGCATGCTTAGATAAAGTTTGAAAAACTATTACTACGAGATTCAGAATCAAAACAATTTGTACGAGCAGTCATGCGACACGTATCGATATACAAAAAAATACACCTAACGACTTCTTTCTTTCGTTCTTTTTTTATTCTCCATCCATGATGAAAAAAAAGAGATAGAAAGAGCAAAACATAAGTAGTCATATTTTGTTTCTCTTCTTGATCGCACGTAATACAGGTATTCAATCAAGGATAAGAATGGCATTGTATCTTTATTGATTGTACGAAATGTAAAATAAAGTAAATTGACGTAAAATCGCTTAAGCATTTTACCAGATAACCTTAAATGTATATACTTTACTTTACTGAGTCAAATAAAGTTGGTCAATTTTATTTAAAAAGTAAAGTGAATTATAATACTTTAAATTTCTTGTTGATGTTCTCATTCAATATCATACAGTGATAATACTGCAGCATATCAACATATTTGATCAAAAAAAGTAATCTGAAAACTATATAGACTTGACATTTTGAGGCCACTTTTCGCCAAGCCATATTTTATAAGTCCAATAGTCATTTCTCAGTGGCAATTATAGCATCGAACTGGTAAATTTTTAAGGACTACTTGGGCCTAGAACTAGATCCCATATTTTAATTTTATACCAAGCTTCAACTGATTACTTTCTAACGATGGTTGTGTGGAAATAAAAACATGTAGTCAATTTTTATAATGCTTAGCTATTTCCTCGAAGTAGACTTTTCTGGTTAAAAACAATTGAAATGACGTAGTATAAAGCTTTTAGCATGAAATTCAAAATAAGCTCCAAAGATTATGAGCAACTATTCTTATGCGGCATGAATCAAGATTTTATTGATGAAATATTGATGAAAAAGTAAGCTCACAATTTCGAATTTCCGTGTCGAGCTCACTTTTTTTTAATGGAGTAATGCTGCTGAAAATATTTTGATACGCTGCAGCATTATCATTGTATGATGCTGAACTAGAAAATGAACATTAAATTTACAGTATTATGATTAACTTTATTTGACTTGCTACAGTAAAGATAATGTACTGCCTCTGCTTAAGGATAAATTTATATTTGATTGACACTTTGAATATAACCTCACTTCAGCCTTGGACAGAAAGAGTATTGTACTTTTCCGTTGCTTTATCGCGCGTTCATCTATTACTATATACATATGTCTTAATAAACATTTTTTTTCACCATCGCATAAGAATTTAGTTACATACTGAATAATATTCTACTAGACAGAACAAAGTATTTTGACGTGACTCTCAAGAATCAAACAAGCTCATTGTTTCAGAGAATGAATATAAGCATACATTTTGTTCGGCCTGTTGTAGAACTCTCACAATTAATTGTCATGGACATGCTCTCCAATTACGATATGGTACAATTCATAAGAGATTTTATCCCTCAACATGCTCTTCGAATCATAGACTATTTCACACCGTCACTGAATATGACAAAACCGATTGAACACTATGACGCTGTGGAAGTTGTTCCACTTGAAACAGCTGTTGAACCATTGGTTTCGTTGATTCCCGATATTAAGGAAATGGTTTTTAAAGCGAAACAGAAGTGTGATCAACCAAAAGATGGTTTGACAATAGATGAATCTGCTTCCATTATACTCTATTCATTGGAATGGGAACCAAGAGAAAAATCATTATATGTTATGTTGAATAACACTCTACGCGCTGAAGATCGAGAAAAAATAAAACCATGGGAACTTTATATAAAACTTTTTGTTTTTTCACTTGAGAAATTGCCATCAGTTTCACGAACTATTTATCGAGGAGTAAAAATGGATTTGAGTGCTCAATATCCACAAGGAAAAACATTTGTTTGGTATGCATTTTCATCATGTACTAGTTCAGTACAAGTACTACAATCCGAACAATTTCTTGGAAAAACAGGAACGAGAACTCTCTTCAATATTGATTGTGAATCGGGCAAAAATATTCAAAATCATTCATTCTTTCCAAATGAAGATGAAATCCTATTGATTGCTGCTCGAAAACTTCAAGTGGTCTCATGTCTTGATTCTGGCAATGGTCTTACCATTATTCAACTCAAAGAAGTTGGAGCAGACGATCCTCTTCTAGGATCTGCGCGTACAGACAGTACATCTTCTGAAGCGAGCACTGCATCAAAACCAAGTCATCAAGAAGATTCAGCAACTCCGGATCTGATTTCCCTTAACCCTCAAAATCTAATTCCGTTCAAGGACTCAAAGCTTTCGAATTTATCTGGTTTTCTATTTTAATTTATTTGTATATGAACACTAAGACTCTCAAAACATACAGAACGGCTGCATGTTCATTGCACTTTTAGCATTTTAATCAATAATTTCAAATAAAACAAGCTGCGCTTATCTTATTTTCAGGGATATTTTTTTTCGGTAAACACATAATATTATTATTCCCTCGAGTGCAAGGAGGGTCATGTAAAAATAGTGAAAAGAGTTTGTCTGTCTGTGACAAGGTCAAAAAACATCCAAGGTGAATATTTTTATAAAGGTTGACGAAAGCAAATCGAGGTGGGAGAATTCGAATCTGAAGCCAGTTTCACAAAATGTTGACTTGAATTTTTACGATCAAGGAAAGAAGTTTTTGAGAGAATAATGATAATCTTTCGACTTAGGGAAAGGCCCTGTGACAAAAGTGAGAAGTATTTGTCTGTGTGGGTGTGACAAGGACAATAAAGCTTTTGAGATGAACTTTTTAATTTCAAGATTTTTGTACTTCAAGATGACTCTTACTGAAGATTATCGAGGGCCAGTATTCTTGATCTGCAATCGAATTTCACACCCAGGCTTTCTATCGGCTAGAAAGTTGGTGAATTGAAAATGAGCTTTGCCACTTTAAACTTTTCGTTCGTTCTCGTGAAACTTTACTGTAGGTTGTCGAGGTTCACAACTCTGTGTCTGAGACTCCGTTGTGCATTCGATCTTTCTTTTGGTTCGAAATCCGACCGATCCGATACGGTTTTTCCTAAAGATTTACGAAAGTAACTTGGAAACGGTCCGGACAATCGGAGCTGAGATTAGTTTCTAAAAAATGTCCACTTCTTGAAAGTACAGAAAATCTTTTTTTAAAAACAATTGTTCTTTTTGCATATATCTGTTTTACTAGAGAAAAACTATGCTTTTTTCAGAAAACAATTAAGTGACAACAGTCGAATTCAAAATTTGGAAAAGCAAATTTTGCATTGGGATTGTTCGGTTTCGGTTTACTTTCGTCAATACTTACATAATATTCTTATTCTCGCCGAAAATGCTTTCTGAGACCCATTAAATTGAAATCAAAGCTTCAAGAAACTGATTACTGATTCAGACATCCCAGGCACGACCCACTTTTCTTATCCTGTATAAAATACTGTTACTGTCAGCAGGAAATATCCTTTTCTGCTCGATAATCAGCTTCAACCGATTATAGTACTAATAGTTATCGTCACTGTTGCGAACGTGGCTGCGACGTGTGGACACTGGTGTGAATAGCCGTTATGGTTGTGAGTACGCATCAGGGTGCAGGAAAGTGCGACTGTTGATGTTCCTATACCTGTGAGCCTTGGTGTGAGTGACGAGAACATCAACAGCCACTTGCACAGACAGCATTCAACTCCTCCACCCTGATATATAAACCTACACCCATATCTTACATCCTCATTCACACTCACATCCACACATATATCCACCATAGATAGATCCCCTCTTCCGAATATTTGATGCTGTGAGGGAGCCTGCACCAGAGTATATAAATAATGTTGTATCAAATGCTTAAGCTATCTAAGTTTATTTAGTAAATAAGTAATTAATATTATTTAGCATTCAGACGTAAAAATATAAAATCTTCATCACAATCATAAATGTCCGATGAAGTCATTGAGATACCAACAGAGGTTCAAAATCAGTAAAATTTTCACAGAAAAGTACTTAAAAGAACATTATGCAAAAGAGAAAAGAGAAAAAACTTAAATTAAATTGTTTGATTCTTATCAACTTTCAATTATTAGAGTTTCGTGAGAAGGAATGAAATAGGATCGATGCAAGAATCTTTTCCTTTTTTAATATGCTCTGAGAAGGTATCGATCGGTGACATTGCTTTTTAATAATATTTCATATAATGATGTGGGTGGGTGTGGGTGTGTGATAAGAAATATCGCCGTTCCACGACAACAGTTGTTTCTGTCCATGGCGGGACTTCATCAGGTGGAATTTTTTTGCTAGTCTGCTGCAGAATCTGATTTTATCTATTTGTTTTGTGTTTAATGTGAATGAGGAGCTTTTTTTTGTATTCATTTGCGGGATTCTTTTAATTTTAGTGTCTCATGGATATATCTGTATATTTGTTTGTGTTTATAGGTCGATAACCTTTCGTTTTTGGTGCTTTTCTTGAGACATGGTGGCTTACTCAATCTTTGGTTTTGTTGTGATGATAGAGTTTTAGTTTGATTGTATACAGGTTTTCAGGTTATGTATTTTTGTTTTATTGTTTTGCCTTGTTGGTTTTTTTCGTTGTTTGTTCCGATGGATGGTTAGATAGAACTTTGATTATATTAGAGTTTTGGTTGTTTTAACGCAGAATTCCAAAATCTGCTTGTTTTCGTGGTCAAAGTGGTCCACATCTTGTTTCTTGTTGTCAAATTCATTTTCGCCAAGTATGGGCAAGTGTGCAAGATAGAGTTTGCGCCGAGAGAATTTATCTGAAATAGAGGTAGAGCGGTATTGTACACGAGATATTTAGTACACTTAGGTTCTGTTTCATTAATATATTGGTCTCAGCTATCAATGAATTTTATTCATCTAATGAAAAAATTTACAGAGAAAAGTAACAAAAAGTGAACGTTCCAGTGGTTTGTTTATGTTTTCATCGCTATTGAAGCTACGTTGGAGTCGATGTATTTCAAGAGACTGCGACGTGGTTTTTTATCGACCAGTAAATGTTCCAATGATCTGTTTGTTCGCGTACCAAGGATCAGTTGAATATTGCATAATGGTGAGTTTTCGTAGCAGAAGTGTTTTTTCCAAAGTTTTCGAAATTTACCATAGAATGTTCTCAATGGTCCGCTTTCATGTTGATAATGTATAATCAGTTCTTTTTGTTTAATTGGCTTAGTTTCTATGTGTTTTTTTTTGTTTTTTGCTTGATTAGTTTGCTGTTGTTGTTCTGGTTGATGTGCTGCTTGCTGATCTGTTGACGATTCATTAAGTAATTGAAGATATAGTCTTTTATATGTTTCTGTATGCAAATATTCGTCGATAGATGAAGCATTGTAAGTTTTAAAGAATTTTTTAAAATAGGTAGTGATAAATTTTGGTAATACCCATTTAGGAGTAATCCTATTACAATATTTAGTGGTTTTGATCAAAAGTTTCTGCATCTGAACAAAGACGAATACCACAAAATAAGGCTGTATGGATTGTATTCGAATGGATATAACGTGGACGATCCGACGTATATGGAAGCATGTATGGTTCAGCCGCTGGTTTACGGAAAACAGATGTTTTTAATTGTCCTTGAATATTTTCAATAAGAACATCAAGAAATTCAACTGATTCATGAATGGTATAATTAATTTTAATATTTGGATCTTTTTCGTTTTCTCGGTCAAGTAATGCTTTAATATTGTTAATAGGTTCATTGGAAGTCATAAAAATATCATCAATATATCTAAAAAGAAATTATTGATAAGTGTCAAATCATATTGTCTTTAGAAGAAAAATTACCTTCCGTAGAGTTCATTTCGTTGCTGTTGATGTTCAATCAATGATTGTTCCCATTCATACATATAGATATTTACTAATGTTATTGTAAATGGTGATCCCATAGCTCCACTACGAATTTGTTTATAATATTTATTATCAAAAACGAAGCAATTTGTATCTAACACAAGACAGGCCAATCGAATAATAGTGTGACAGATAAATTGCCAATTCTACGGTCTTTGTCATGTTTAACACAAAATCGATATAATGCATCCAATGCACCACCTTTTGGTATCATTGTATAAAGATTTTTTACAACAGCTGTAACACATTTTGTAGTGGATAATAAATGACCTTCATTTCGATGGTTTTCTAATTGTTTCGCAAGATCCATACTATCAATATAAATTGTTTTTCGTGCGACGCGATTGAAAATAGGACGGAGTAATTCATCAAGATATTGTGATACTAATGTAGCTGGTGCATGAATTCCTGCAACAATCGGTCGTAACGGAGTACCAATCTATAACGAAAATTTTTTATTCGAAAATGAATCTTGTTTTCTTAGGAAAAAAAGTACCTACTTTATGTGGTTTTGGTATAAAATATAAGTGACTTAATTCGATGTCATTTTCTTTAGGATACATTGCTTCATATTGCTTTTTTGTAATGCAAGGTGTTTCAGCATAGTAAAGATGGTCAAGCAATGATATCACTTGTTTTAAATTAACTGCTAATGGTGAGATACCCGATGGAATTTCTTCATAAGCTTCTGTTTCTTGCATATATTCACGAACTTTTCTTTGATAATCATTGGCATCACCTAGATGAAATACTTTACTTTTATCAGTTCGTCGTAAAATCACTTGTTGATATTTCTGTAAATAACAGTGAATACTCATAATTAATTTATGTTCACGTTTTGCACGTAGAGATAATTTTCGTGCTAATTTTTTGGTATAAAGACATTGAAGAAGATTTTGAAGATCAAGAGAAAATTCCTTGATCCGTTTTTCTGAGATACAATAAGAACGTTGACGAAAGAACTCTTCAATTGTACCAATAATATTTTTATGTTCTTCTTCAATGATTTGGTTTTTTTCCTTCTTGTAAAATTGGCTTTGACATGATGATACATATTTCGATCCACGAGAAAGTAATGTCAATTGTTCCGGTGCTAACTTTAGATGAACTTCAATAATAGGAGATGACGGAAGAATATCCCAATATAAATTAAGATGATAGCTCCGACGATACCATTTCTGTCGACGATCGTCGAAGCGATGGTAGAAAAAAATGAAGACATCGTTTGTGAAATATTGCATATGTAGTTGAATATGTTTTTGACGTTGTTCAATAGCATAAATAAGTTGTTCGGTAAAATTTTGTCGAAGTGAATTTTGTTTCATTCGACTAACTAATTTCACTTTTTCATTTTCAGCGTATTGAGGATAACCACGCACTCTAAAAAAAATCGATTTTTTACCGAACCCCCAAAAAAGGTTCTGGAGATGTCTAACAGCGTCCAAAGATGTCCAAAGTCTCAAAAAAAGGATAAAAAAATCTACGAAACCTTTAAAGGTTCTTACCGTGTATTCAGGATAAGAACCTTTTCCTGCGAAACCTTTTTTTAAGTTCCATACAGCAGAAAAAGGTTTCGTAGGAAAATACGAAACCTTTAGAGTTTCATATTAAACCCTAATAGTTTCGTACTAAACACTCATGATTTCGTAGAGTTTAATATGAAACTCTAAAGGTTCCGTATTTTCCTACAAAACCTTTTTCTGCTGTATAGAACTTAAAAAAAGGTTTCGTAGGAAAAGGTTCTTATCCTGAATACACGGTAAGAACCTTTAAAGGTTTCATAGATTTTTTTATCCTTTTTTTGAGACTTTGGACATCTTTGGACGCTGTTAGACATCTCCAGAACCTTTTTTGGGGGTTCGGTAAAAAACTGATTTGTTTTAGAGTGCGGATAGATGCTTCAGCCATACTAATATAAAGTGTCATTAAATCACATTTATTTTGTGCAATAATTTTCTTATGACGTGTTGAAATTGTTGTTCGAATATTTTCATTAAAAATAGGTCTAGCTAATGTATGTTCCACTTTTGAAAATGATTGATCAAGGTAATTCAATGATTTAGGTATACGTTTGACGTAAAGATGTTGTTTTAAAACATCGACATTGTGCTGTAATTTACATTCGTTAATAGTTGCTTGTCATATAATTTGTATGGAAAGAATTTCATCTTGTGTTGGTTGACAATCATAACATGCTCTAACCAAAGAACAATCTTGAGCACTATTTTTCAAACGTTTTTTTCGATGTTTATAATGTTGAGATAATTTCTGTTGAGCTTTACGTGCTAAAGCTAATATAGCTGCTCATAAACGTGGTTCATCAATGTTTGAATCTGGCTGTTGATAATTTTTCAATAGCAAAGCGTGTTCTTGTACTTGTTCTTCAGCTTTTGATTTTTTTTGTTTAATTCTGTCGATATATTTTTTCATTGACTTTTTCGATATTTTATAATCGAATTCTAATTTATTCTCATTAATGATCGTTTTTGATAATGGTGATGTCTAATAATCATATGTTTCGCCATAACTTGTATAATTTTCCCAGAGATCTTCTTCTAATTTAAAATAATATACTCTATCTAGTAAACGAGTATGTTCACAAAGATAGTGAAAATTTTCTTTGGATTTACATCATTGTAAAATATCTTTATCACCAACAAAAGCAGATTTTAACATTTGTTTAAATTTTTTAGCGGTGGTATTTAAATAATAATGTAATGAAGTGGTCCGTTCATTGACAGTAGCTGCAACTATGTTTTCTTCATTTTCCTCCTGTTCTTCTTGTTGCTGCTGCTCCTGCTGTTCTTGTGTCTTCGAAGATGATAAGGATCTTTTTTTCTTTTTCTTTGAATTCTCTTTCATTGATAATTGACTAAAGGATTTTGTGATGTATGTACCTTGGTCTTGTCCATCTTATTTTCTTGATTCATCTCTTTTATGTTTTGTCATTTTTCGTTCAAAATTATATGGACCTGGCAAACTCTAGAAAACGAATAATAAAATAGAATACTTGTGTCTCTACAGATCCACGTACGCATTTATTCTTACCTGTCTATCATTCCGAGGAACTGTTAATTCCATATCAATATTTTGTGACTCCTCTTGTTGCTGTAACAGAGCCATACGTTTATAAATTTGGATAGTTGCTTTATCCAGACCTTGTTTGCGAAGTTTTCGCCAATATCGTCGTAATTTGGGGTGTGGGTGTGGGTAGGTGCACATGAATAAATAAATATCGCAGAGCTGGACAAGTACGGTCTTGTTCGAGGACGAGTACGAATACTTTGAGTATTTTGCCCAGCTCTGAAATATCGACACACACACCCTCCTGTGAAGAAAAAAAAGAATTTATTAAATAATCAAATAGAAAGAAGGACGAGTGTCACAGAAGGGTCTATCTTCTAATCTGATATCAAGATAATTATATACCTCTCTTTTAAAGGGATTTCTTTCTTTGAAGATTGTTCAATGATAGCCTTGTGTGTCTGTCTCTAGTTCATTTTATCATACAGTTCTATATTGAACTTATCAAACAACAACTTTTGTAGATCAACAGACTGTCACAGAAAAAAATCGTATACATTCGCGTAGGAATTAAAAGAAAAGAAAAAAATTCTTCATATAATTGTCTCTTGCAACAGTTTGAACACTTAATCTTTTCATTTCTCAGAATAAAATATATGGATTGACGAAACTATACAATTAAGGAAAAAATCGAAGAGATACAAATGATGATCTTTGTCTATGAGAATAATCTTCTGATGGTTATTCATTCTAATTTAGTCGACTTTTCATCGGTGAATAATACAGAAAAATAGCTACAGTTTCACATATAATTACTATCACTATTTTTTATGATTTCAACAATATTTTAATATAACTTACAAGTTAATTATTCATACGAGTTTCTTTAATTTCTGAAGTATTCTGCTTTCAAATGTTCCGATTTTAAGATGACTTTGTCGATTGTCACAAGATTTTCATGATTCTGAAGTGAGAAAAATGACTTAAATTAGTCGTTTCTGCCTAGAAACATATTGTATTTAAACGGAAAGAAAAAGTTCACTCTTCACTCGTTGATGCGAATAATTCACTACATGATTTTGACAATCAATATTGACACATTTGTACGGGTTGTTTGATAACGGCGTCAATTGAAAAGATGTTTGTACAGTATCATTACCAAGTGTCATCTCTTTGATCGATAATCACAAAAAATTGTTACAATAAAGTGGTGAAAAGTATTGCCTATTCATTTTTCTAACATGACCAGTATAAGATTTTCTATGTACATGATCAGGTGTTTTTAATTGTGAATATATATAAGCCATTCGATTCCACAAAAACATCTTTACACAGTGTATTCAGGAATTATTGAAAGTTGACCGTATCAGATTCATCACTCAAGGGATCACGTCCAAAACACATTCTATGACTTATCGACAGAATGAGGCAAAAGAAATATAACTCAGCATTCCATCTTTCCCGTTTTTGCATTTTTATTCCAGATATACTCTTCTTTTTTTTCTGCTTTCTTCTTTCTTCATTTCTATGCGAATAAAGAAACATGGACTGTTATAGTAGCAGTCGTTTTTTTTTGTACACGACGGACACAAATATTCTCTCCATAAACATGTCATCTGCTTTTTGTTTCTTAAATATCAAAGAATATAATTCTTGTATGGGTGTGGATGTAGATGTGGGTGTGGGTGGGTGCTAGTGTGCATGTGTATTATGTTCTTTTTTGGCAACCACACCCTTCCTGGAGGTAAGACACCAGGTATATAAGCATTTCTGCATATATTGTGTAATAATGGCTCCAAAGAAATTACATTAAGATCTTCTAAAAATGAAAATCATTGTCGAATTCCAGATTGAAATAAGATTTTTTTACTAAAACAATTATGAAGTTTGATTTGGACAGTGGCAAGGATGTATAATAATTTAATCCAATCAATGAAATTTTTACCAAATGCGAATTGTTTTGAGAGCTTCGAAAAGATAATCATGATTTGACTCGACGAAATGCTTTTTCTTGGTCCCATTGAATAATACTAATGGGATCCCGCCACGAGAATGATAATCAATGATTATGCGAATGAGATGAATATTATCGTGAATCGTTCGTCCAGGAATTCCACACGTTTGATCATAGTATATGATGCGATTCGAAATTTTTTTAGAAGTACACTTAATACTTTGGATAATATTTTATAATCTATATGCATTAATGATAGGGGTCTAAAACTTTTCATTGAGCCATTATTATTCCCTTTCTGTTTTAACAAAGTCACCATTGCATTTACAAAACCATCATGGAAATGACCATCACCTTTTGCAACATTAATCATTCGAACATAATATTCACCTATAATTGGACATAAATACCTCCATACTTCGATTGTTATTCCATCTTCACCAGGAGCACGACCTAAAGGCATTATTTTTAAGGTATCATGACATTTTGCATAACCAATATCACGTTCGAGGCATTCCATATCTATGGGATTTAATGTTGGAAGACCTGTAAATAATTCATTTCATATAGTTGTATCGGCAGTTTTAACATCATATAAATCGTTGCAAAAGTCAGTTGCAATTTCAAGTATTTCCAAGTCAGTTTCAACACGACCTTTTGTCGGACGCTCAAGAAATTGTATTCTATTTTGATTGCATTTGGAGTAAGTAAAATGTGCTTTAGCTAAAATGCCAAGAGATTGTATATTGTGTTCCTGATGACACGGCAAATTAATATTAATTTTCTCTTCTAAAAGACTTCGTATGTCTTTTCGTATAATTTCTAATTGAATAAGATAATCGGTATTTGGATTAGTGGCTCGAGACCTGTATTCATTCTGTAATTGTCTTAATTCATACCTTCTTTCAGAAATAAGATATTTCTGTTCTTCTTGAAGAAGAAAAATGAGACTTGTACTAAAGTCGTTCCACTAAACAGTTGAATTAAAATCCACTGACTTGAGAAAAGCATTTCATTCTGCCAGAAATTTTTTCATAAATGTATTCCTTGTAATCACTTTTGGGTTAATAATCCATCGATAAGTTTCATAATCATTCTTCGATGGAATATTTAATTTAACTGTAAGAGAATCAGGGTTAGATAACCCAACAGGTGCATAATATATTTGGTGGGTATTTTTTTGTATAATTTTTGATCCAAAAAAGAAATCAATACAATTATGAGTATTTCTTGAATCACTATGATATCAATAAATAACTTTGCGTGGATATTTGGATCTGAATAACTCAGTCAATAATAATGGATTAATTACTTCACATAAAAGTATTGGATATGGTTGAGTATCGGTGTGAATACCATAATGATTTCAATCATGTTGACCATTTGGTGTGCAATTAATATCATCTCCGATCATGATCCATTCAGTTGGTGGAATATATAATTTCAATTCTTTAAAAAAAGGTGCACCGTTCAGTAATTTGTGCGGGTGCGTATACATTAACAATAACAATAACAATACGATTATTGCTATATGTAGTTTTAATAAAGGCAAATCGACTTGTTGAATCAGTACCAGCATGAACTACTTCATGCTCTCTCTTGAACATAATAAGTGTACCACCGACTGCCCATGTGTCTAAACAACATGTAATCTAATATTCTGAAAAGTCTTGTTTAAAAGCTTGAAAATGTTTAAAATTAGTCATATATAATTCTTGTAACAGTACTACATCATGTTGTGTTTCATTCAACGATGTTCGTAATAATGCATGTTTACCACTGGCTGAAATACCTCTCATATTATATGAGAGAATAGTTTGCATTAGGATGTAACTAATGAACTAAGTTTTTATATTTACGATATTTATGTGTTTGTACTTTTTTTATTCTAGTTTATAAGTATTTTTACTTTAAATTTTTATTGTTTTTTTATTAATTATTGGTGAATTTATCTAATTAGATTTAACCGTTTTCCCTCTCTCTACTCTTCATAGCGAGGGGAATCTGAGTGTTGTTTTTTTGAATCCTTAACTACTATATAATTCTCATCATTCAATGGTCGTGTTAAACCATTATGCCCTTCTTTATATACTTT